CTGTGGTTAGTTGGCTACCATTAGTGTCGAGCCCTGAATGCATAATTTTGTTATATTTGTTTTAAATGCTATGATTTTAAACATACAGTTTTAAGAGCAAAGAGCAAACAAACACAGTAAGTGATGTCCATCTCCGCAAATAACAATCAAGTGATTTTATTCAGTATTTTTGAAACAACAAACTATTCACGTGTACATCAAGACAGTGGTCACACATCCTCAATGGATGAATATAGAGCTGCTGAAAGCTTTAGCCTCCAGATTGAGTTGAGTCTCTTTCAACAATTTGGAAACCCATCAAGGGAGCAGCTCCACCCTGACCTCCTACAGCAACAACAACAACAACAACATACTTTATTTTCTCACAGATTACATTTATAACTTAAATTACTACTTTTTAATGTTTACAATACATGTATATGTTGGCCAGAATTTATAAACATTAAAGTTCCTACACAGCTTGTCATGCACTGTTTCCAGTGGAATGTTGTCGGAGAGGAATACATGATGGGACACAAGAATGCCTACAAAGGAGGCTACGTCCACCCCAAACCCTTGTGTATTCAGTAACAAGGGTCAAGATCTGATCCAGCATATATTTACATTTATAAGTATCTTTCCTTTGTCAGAAAAATGTCAAGCATGGAATGGAAAAAGCTGGAATTAACAAACTCTGTTTGGGAGAGAAAGCTGGACAGTTTCAGATGACAGGTGTTGATGAGGTTAGCTGATTATATGTTGTTTAAACATTTGAAGAATATAGATGCTTTTTGGAAATTTAGAAAGCACACCTTAGGGGCACCAGAATACATTTTGTAAGGGTGTGGCCTAAGTTCATTCCAAGCAATTTCCCCAGTTTTAGGTATGAAGGCAAATTTCACTCCTTTGCTATCTGTCTTTCTCTTTCCTTCACTTCCTGTTAGACTTTTAGTCTGCTATACATGTCGCTAACTGGTGCATAAGCTGTTGTGATTTAATTTTGCACAACTGGTGGTCACTGTTAGAGGTCAAAGTTGCTGAGTTAGAAGTATACATGCATGTACATGTTACATGTACATTTAACATGATTTGCTCACCAAGTGATTATTTTTTAATGGCAATGTTTTCTTCTTTGAATTGCAAAGATGGTATTTTTTCCAAACCTTCATAGCACTGGTAGTAATTCAGGGCCCAAAGAGTGCTTTTATTGGGCTAGCATTTTCTTATGACCACCAAGCTAAGCACTGTTGGGTGCTTTTCTTTTCTGTGATGCTTGTATACAAATTGGTGTGTAGTGGAAAATTCCTGAGAGAAGGTGCATTTGCATTAATAATAATTGTGAATAGCTGTGTTAAGCCTGGGACTTGACAGTACATGTACTTGCTTAGCTGTTTCTTTAATGATTTGTTTTCCAATTTGTACATGAAGATTTGAGGGCAATAATACATTTGTTACACAAACATGAGTGCGTGTAGTTCCTTGTTATACATCTGATGACAATAACATTTGTGACTCTTCCATAATAAATTACAATCTTTCCTTAGGTTACTAGTGAGAAAGAAAATAATATTAAAACATGCCTTTTGTCTCTGCTTAACATAAGCAGCCAATTTTGCCAGCTCAGCAAATGTCTCCATGCAATTATTTTTGAATTACCGCCAAGTCTAGATGATTTTTCTCAAAAAGTAACGGTGGTGATCCACAGATCAGGAAATGGTCAGGAAGAAAAAATTCTTCAAGGTCAGGGAAAAGTCAGGAAACTTTATTTTGAATCAGGAAAAAATTGTGGAGGTACATACTCATTCAAATTCAGAGGTTTTGGCTCCATGGTGTACTATCTAGCCCATGTTTGACTTAA